ACATTTTACAAACAGTATTAGCATAAACACGTCTGCCCTTAATATGTTGACTCACCGAAGTAAACTGCAGACGTATAAGGATAAACTACGTCTGCACTTTACTACCCTTTCTTATTGGTCGGATAAATCTTAAAAAGCCGAACCGTTTGGCTATACCTTGTGCGTCTGCAGTATACGTATATGCGACCCGGATGAGTTCTGACCCGGATTAGTTCTGACCCGGGTAAGTTCTGACCCGGGTAAGTTCTGACCCGGATGAGTTCTGACCCGGATGAGTTCTGACCCGGGTGAGTTCTGACCCGGATGAGTTCTGACCCGGGTCAGTTCTGACCCGGGTCAGTTCTGACCCGGGTCAGTTCTGACCCGGATGAGTTCTGACCCGGATCAGTTCTTTAAAAAAATTAAGAAATTTGATATTTTTGAATTTTGAACTTTGCACAATTTTAATACACACGCTGTATAAAATAAAGAGTTTTTTCAACATAGGTTTAAATACCTCTAACCTTGCTAGTAGCCACCCAACAGAAACTGTTTTTATATCTTTAAGGGTATCCTCGTAAAGAAATAATTTATAAGGGACTGCATCGGTCAAATTTTTTACAAAAAATTTATAACACAAACAGTACTATGCATTTTTCGAAAAAAGTTTTTAGACATAAGTACCCTAAAATTTTACGAAGATTTTAAAAATATATTAATATAGAGGGTAGTTCTATTGAAAATAACAAAGTTACAGTCGACTTCCGGTATAACCAAAAGTCGGCCATTTTTAAAAATATCTTAGTTAAAAAGAGCGTAATCAAAAACCTAAATAAGTGTTTTTCCATATACAGATAGTTTAACTTCGTCGTGCATGTTAAATAATAAGGAAACTGTTGCAAAAAACATTGTAACTTTACCATCCTGTATCTAAGTAGTAGATAACATTTATATTTTAAAAGTCCTAAACCTATTATTAAAATATTCCTAATGAAACACCCTGAATATTAATTCTTTTTTCTTGTTTCTTTACGTGCGCAAAATCTACGCTAAAAGCCCTACATTTCGATTTTTTCCTTTTTTGCAGTTCAAAAATTGACCCAGATAAAGGGCGGTAACATTATAATATCCATAATCACTCTGCACATACCTAATAGGTATTTAATTTTTTTAATTCAACAAAAAATCACAATTCATTATATACTAACCTCTACGTCTTCTTTAGATTGTAGTTTTGTTCTAAAACTACTTTGATTTATATAATTGTATTCATAACCCTATGGAACTATAAAATTTTCCATTGTTTATAACTTACACCGATGCTAACGCAATAATGCAAATTGCAGACGTATTAAGATCCATCTATGTTTCCAGTTTACTCGCGTGCAACTTCTACTTCAATCCTAGCCGAACATTTCCGAATCGTTTGGCTATAACTTGTGCGTCTGCAGTAGGCGAGTTCGGATAGTCAGGGGCTGGAGCGGGACAAATTTTAGGGTGCTTTTAAATGACATTTAAGCGTGTTAAACTGTCACTAATCGGACTAAACCGAACGCTAAAAGGGTCGTTTGGAGTTAAAAGTGTTAAAGGAACGTGGCAGACCGAACGCAATGATCATACGTATATGCACCCGGGTCAGTCCTGACCTGGATGAGTTCTAATCCGGGTCAGTTCTGACCCGGATTAGTTCTGGATCCGGATCAGTTCTGGTTCCAGATGAGTTAGCAACTTTACGTGTGTCTTTTTTCCACCGGTTTGTTGCAACCGTTGTTTCACCGATGCGGCCTTGAACGTTTTGTGTTGGATTCTGGTTGACCGTTGAAATAAATAACAGTTGACATACCGCACCGATGCCAACGTTGCTGCAACAGTTGGATAAAAAGACACGTTTTTATTTAAAGAATTTTCTTCTCAGAGTGTAAATAAAAAATATATTTCATAAAGTAGAACACGACCCCCTATAAAGTACCATCTTTCATCCAGATGTTCAGATTATGCTCTAGTGAAAATAAAAAAGTGTATAAACTAAAATAATAATAAAAAAACAAAACATTGTATAGGTATTTATTATATATATTATATTCTAGAGTTACATGAATTTAAGGTAATATAATATTTTACTAACATACTAAACAAGTTCATCTTCTTGCATCTGGTCAACTGGCGTTTCTTGCTCGGGTACATGTACATAATTATTCCCATCTTCAATACCTTCAATTTCAGCAGAATCCATGCCCACCTCTTCAGTGATATTTTCCCCTGCATGTTGAGATTTCATATGATCTCTCAGAGCAAATGTTCTAGCATAAGTAGCACCGCACAGCCAACAATCAAATTTTAAATTATTTTCCCTCTTATGAGTTTCCATATGAGCTCTGACTGCATATAAAGAAGCGAACGGTCGATTGCATTCTGTGCAACTGAATGGTTTTATATGACTGTTCTTATGCCCCGCCAATTGCACGCTCGTTTTAAAAGCCTTTGGGCAATAGGGACATTTGTAAGCCCTAACGTCTGAATGAATTAGTAAATGATGGTTATAAACACTGTGAGACTTGAAACGTTTATTGCAATGAGGGCACTCATATGGACGCGATCCAGAGTGAGTTCTCATATGTAATGTGAGACAATAACTAACTCTAAATGCTTTGCCACATATTTGACAGATATGTGGTTTCTCTCCTGTGTGAATTCTTTCATGTTTAACTTTTTCACAAGGCCTAGAAAAACGTCTACCGCAATACTGGCATTCATAAAATCTTTTATGGCATTGACTGTTAACATGTTCAGTTAATGCATCAAAATTTGTAAATGGTTTTTTACAGTAGGAACAGACAAACTTTTTAGAATTGGTATGGGCTTTCATGTGCATTTCAAGGTTTTCTTTTGTTAAAAACTTTCTATTGCAAGTAGCACAATAAAAATTATCTTCTTCTGAGTGAGATTTCATGTGAACTTCCTCATATTCAATATCATATGTATTACTACATATATGACACACAAACATCTGTCTAACTTTATCATCATCTTCAAAATCTGTAGGATTTTGATTTACAGGTGCTTCTATAGGTTTAATTTTTTGAGGTTCATGCATTCTTTTATGCAATCTAAGACTTTTGAATGATGGAAACATTGTATTACAAATGTCACAAGTGTGGGGACCTAGAGTAATGACCTTATTCTGCGTATCACCTGAATCATTCTTAAAATGGGTTTTTAAATGAGTAGTAAGCAATTGGTTAGTTGGGAATGTTGCAGAACAATGTACACACTTGTTCTTTTTGGCAGGGGTTTTTGCATTACAAGTATGTTTAACATAATGCTCAAATTTTGGGAATTGCAGATAACACTTGGGACATTGATGAATTTGAATAATTGAATTTCGATCCTTTATTTCAGCAGCCTCTTCTTCTGTAATTTTTGTTACTTTACCATTTTCTATTTGGTAATTTTCAGTTATAGGAGCAGTAACTTTACTTGAAGACCTAGCTTTACCCACTTTTCTACCCTTATTTTCAAATGCAACGTCTTCATTTTCTATATACTCTTGTTCTTCTTCTGCTCTATCTAACTGATCATTATCTATTGGATCCTCAGATATTTCAAAATTACCTTCATTTGGAAAAACAAGGAACTCAGATTCATCTACTTCAGTGGCTTTTTCTGGTTCATTTTCATTTTCTTCAGTTTCCTGAAAAATATTTTCATTTTACATATTATAAATAACATTTTTAATGAGCAATAGTACCAAAAGAACCTCTTCTCCAGCATGATATTTATCTAAATGATCTTCAATTGATTTAAAGTGGACATTACACATAACACACATATAGGTTACTCCATCTTCAGCAGTATTTGGAGCGTTGTTTTCCTCATTCTCGTCCCTCTCCATATTCTCTTCCTCGTCTATTTGATTATCAATATCATCCGACTGACAATTATTATTTTCGTTTTCATCCTCATTGTTTTGAGCAATTTCATTTTTTACAAGAGCAACGTTTTCACATTCTGTGTCTAAATGTTCTGTTAGTTCAAATACACTTTCAAAACTAATGCCGCAGTTAGTACATGATATAGTTTTCAGTATATCAAGTAAATGATTCTTCAAAGATTCGCGAGATGAGAAGCTTTCTTTGCAACAAAAAGGACATTGCAACGATGTACTTCCCATTTTCCAAAGTGTTCGTGACTTACTTTGGAATCCTTATAATTAAAGATATTTTATATATCTCTAATTTTTTGTCATTTTGGATATATACATGGTATTTTATTCAAAATTCAAATTAAAAATAATTCGTGGTCTACTTCGCGTCACTTTTTTTACAAACGTTACAAACTTTGCATTTATTTATCTAGTACAATTGACATATGACACGACACATGGAAAATGTGCGTTCAACAATTCTAATTCCTTTAATTCTTTTCACACTTTTGGTCTCAAATCGGAAACACTACCGCCATATGCAAGCACCAAATCAAAAACACTAGTCCGCCATATGTAAGCACCAAATCGGAAACACTAGTCCGCCATATGCAAGCACCATCTCGGTTCTCACTTTTTGTATTATAAAACCTCACTAACTTGTGGGCATTCTGATTGGTTTTTGTTTACTAATAATAATTTAAATTTTGATTCCTGCTCTGTTGACAAATTTAAATTAGGCATTCCAATCAAAATGACAGGTTATGATATGACAAAATTATGGCAACCCTGTAGGCCTGGTGATTTGACAAGGTCAATGATATAGACAGTTACATCATCCATATTTTTCTTAATAAACATAAGCTTCTGCTTTGAAGTAAAAATTTAGGTAATTATTTTTTTACTATATTCAAAGGCTAAATAAATATTGGTTTGTAAACACATTTTTGCAAAATCAATTCTAATTAATGAGCACTTGCGAGGCAATATGGCCGCTCGTAAACGATCCGCTTTGAGCAATCTATATAACTGTATGTATCATTGACCCTGTCAATGACAACAGGCTCACAAGGTTGCCATATCTAAATGTCAGTTCCCACTTGTCAATAGTTTGACAAATCATTGGAATGCCTAATAATTTAAATTTTAAATGCTATAAGCAACCTAAAATAAAGTTTTTTATTTTTAATTATATAAGTTTAAGAAAATGTACAATTACATATTTTTAATTTTAATTTATTTCGAAATTGGCGAAACTAAAATATTATCCGATAAATTAAATGTACTTTTAATTTTAGGTAAGCATTTTATTTGAATTTCTCTTTACTTATACATTATCATGTGTTCTAAAAAAACACAAAATACAGTAGACTAAGGTTTTTCAAATAAATGGCTACAAAGGATCATGCATCAATTAATTCCTTGAATGGTTTACTATAATATAAATACAGATAATTAATAAAGTTCATAAATAAACTTTGTTTTGGAAAAATTTAGTACTTTTCATTAAATGTTTGTAATATGGTCCATTTTCCAGATATCGTATATATAAAAAGACATCACGAAAAACTTTTATTCGAAGAATTTTCTTCTCAAATCATAAATAACAGAAATAAACCAAAAAGTGTAAAGACGACCTATAAGGTACCCCTCCAATTTCTCACACTCTGCCCAAAATATAATTAGCTCTTTAGAGGTGTCTCAAAATCCTATGTTCAAAATTGACCTAATAGTTTGATCTCTGTATCATGCTATAACATCACACATACAACATTCATTCGAATATTTTTCCAAAACCTGTTTTTTGGCTTCCTAAGACCCCAAAACGTAAAGATTTGGTATTATTGAAATAACTTCTCAATTTTTATGGGTTATTGGGGAGGAAAAAACTGTTTTGATACAAAAATTGATTGTTTTCTATTCGAATTTACCTAAAACCAAAAGATCACCAACATATTGAACAGCAAATATTTTTAACTTACATTTTGTTATATTCTTTTAGCTGATGATGGTGGTTTTGAAATGGGAACATATAGAAATAAAATTTGTCAAACCCCCAATTTAGACCAATTAGCAAAGAACAGTTTGATTTTTAATAAAGCTTTTACTTCAGTTAGTAGTTGTTCTCCAAGGTAAGTAAAGAAACAACTTTCTCATGTTGATATTTATTGAGAATGAGTACTGAAAAACTTGAGGGAAATATTATATGATAGTTAAAAAGTGCCAGTGCTTCTTTTTGCAAACATTGAAGATTAATTTGGAAAATATTCATTTAGAAGTTTTCTTTTTTCTTTCTAGTCGGGCTGCTTTATTAACAGGCATGCCATCCCATCAAAATGGTATTTATGGTTTACATCAGGGTGTACATCACTTTGATTCTTTTAAAAATATAAGAAGCATTTCGAAGATTTTAAAAGAAAATAAAATTAGAACTGGTAGGTACTTATAATTACTTATCTAGGTAGACAAAGGTTTTTTAAAGAAATACCAGATTTTTTGTTAAATATCTCTACAACTGTTGAAGTAGGAAGATGTGGTTTATGGTTTTGAATATGTCTTTAAGAGATTTAAAAAACGGTATACATAAATATGTATTAATTCAAAGACACTGAAATGTGTCCAGAATTTGAATTTCATATAAAATAAGTTCCTGTTTATTTATGTAAGAATATAAATGATTATTATACTAATGTTAATTTATGTTAATTTTGTTTTTTATTGTTTCCAATAAAACCAAAATGTTTTTATTAAAAACAAACACAAACAATATAAACATAAATTTACTGTGTGCTTAAGATCCTTATATAAATAACACTTATTATAATTTAGAAATTAAATCTTTTTCAGGGATCATTGGTAAGAAACATGTTGGTCCTGAAAATGTGTATCCATTTGATTTTTCTGAGACTGAAGAAAATAATTCCATTCTTCAAGTCGGCAGAAATATCACTCACATTAAATTGTTAACTAGACAATTTCTAAATACTTCTGAGTAAGTTAATTTCACATTATTAATTTGTGTATTTCTAATTCTTGTTCATTAATTAAAAGTGCTTTCTTGGGTGTAGGTTTTAAATGAGTTTTTAATTGTTTTCCCTTTTTTAAAATTGTACATCTATCTATTATACTTATACATTTACAGTGTAATCAACCTGATAACAGATAACATAATTTAGTTCATAAAGTGAAGTAATACATTGACCTCTTAAATCCTTTCTCTAACCTATCTGTAATTATCACAGAGTTGTCATTATATTTTGCAAGGGAAGCAAGAGGAATGGAAAAATCAATGTCATTTAAGTAAAATATAAAAATACAGGACCCAACAAACGTTAGATTTCAAAAATCAAACGAAATTTGTAGAGAACAAAGTTTTTAACACTAAAAAGTCAGAAAAAAATTCTAAAACAGACATCAACTAACATTTTTAATAAGAAAAACTTAAAAATTAAATTTTTATCGTAGAAAATAAAAAACAAACCCCATTATATAATTAATATTTTTGAAAGAAAAAACCTAAATAATAATAAAGGGACATTTTTTTACAAAATTTTAATATTAGAAAACTCTATAACTGCAAATTGTAAAACTATAGAATTAGGAATGATCTTTTACGTTCTAAAATTCCCTATTTATAACTTTCGTTGCTTGTGATTCCCAGATCCCAGATTGCTAGTGTATTTCCCCCCTGGTAAATTCCAACGAGAATATACACTAGTGGAAAAAATTAAGGGATTAAAAAAAATTCTATATTTGTGGGATTTTTCGAGTGGCTGTATCTTTGGTAAAAATGGTCGTACGTGAATGAAAAAAACAGCAATTTGAAGCTTGAAATGTCTAGTTTATGGATCTGGCGATAAAAAAAACTGTTCCAACCAACAATTAGCACAAAATCTTAATGAATGTCATGGATAGAAAATGTTTAGTGTACAGACTTGAAAAAAATGTTCTCGGCATAACTACTATATGCATTGGATAGGTGGTTCAGTTAGCTTCAATTCCTTTTTTTTTTTTGATGGCCTCGAGATGACCCTTCCTTTTTGAGTTATCAGAAAATGAACGAAAATACGTCATTTCCTCTTGTCTTGTCAATATCTCAGGAACCAATGGCCGCTCAGAAAATGGAAGGGTGGTTTCGAAAACTTCGATTCATTTACAAGGTTCTGGTATGTTCTTTCACGGGAAAAATTTTTTTTTCATCCCTAGCATGACTTTGAGAATTTCGTAAAACAGGTTTTTTTGAGGTTTTTTAGAAAATCACGTGTCACATTGAGAATATTGGGAAAATGAATAATGTTGAGTGCGCATCTTACAGGCCATTGGTCCCCCGAACGCCCCACAAAATTTCATCCTGATCGATCAAGCCGTTTCATTGTTTTATGCGAGTAAATTTTTGAAGAAATTGAAGGAATTCGTTTTTCTATCCATGATATTCTTCAGGATTTTGTGCTAATTGTTGGTTGGAATTTTTTTTTTATCGCAAGATCCATAAACTAGCTTCAAACTGCATTTTTTTTTTCATTCACGAACGACCATTTTTACCAAAGATACAGCCACTCGAAAAATCGCAAAAAATCGAAAAATTTTTGATCCCTTAATTTTTTCCACTAGTGTAGTATATTTCGATTTACAATTTTTTTTTGTTTATGAATGTAACATGAAATCTTACGTTTTTCGAGTAATTAAAGTGTACATTTTAATAAAGGTTACTTCCAAACACCTTGTATATAATAGTAGTTTTCTTGAACAGGCCATTTTTCCTGTATATCGGATTTCACGATCCACATCGTTGTGGTCATACAAATCCTGAATATGGCGAATTTTGTCAACGATTCGGAAACGGTGAACCCGGAATGGGATTCATTCCAGATTGGCAACCTATTATTTATCAACCGGATGAATTAGAATTACCTTATTTTATTCCAAATACTTGGGAAGCTAGAAAAGATGTTGCGGCTCAGTACACAACGATCTCAAGACTCGATCAAGGTACTTAACAAAAAAAAAAAAAAGAAATTGACAGGTTAAAAAAAAGTATCAACTTAATATTCACCCTGTATTTTAATTCTTACTCTAAAATTTGTAGGTGTCGGTCTAATTATTAACGAATTAAAGACATCAGGTCATTATAATAATACTCTCATAATATACACAAGCGATAATGGAATACCTTTTCCGAGTGGAAGGACGAATTTTTACGATTCAGGGATAGCAGAACCATTATTTATATCTTCTCCAATTCATAAAGAGCGCAAAGGACAAGTAACAAACTCACTTTCAAGTTTGTTAGATATTGTGCCAACTCTATTAGATTGGTATGGTATTAAAAATGACACTGCTGCTATAACTTATAATGAAGTTGAAGAGACAGATATCTTAACTGGAAAAAGTTTACTACCACTTTTAGAAAAAGGTAAGCATGTATGTAGCCATTAAAAAATCAAACTTAATGGTATTTTCGGTTAAAATAAAAGTGTCAATTTTAAATTAAGTCTAGTAGATATATATGTTTGTTCCAAATTTGATACAAATGGCTTTATAAATAAAGAAAATATTGACAATATTATTCTGTACAGGTACTTTAAAAAGAATTATTATTTTTCAAATGAAAACTATTTTATTATGATTTAGTTTGTGTCTCTTGTAGTTTTTAATCACCAAGTTCTTCAAAGATTAGAAGTAATTTTTTTTTATTTCAGAACCAGCCGACAAATCGAAGGAAATAGTGTTCGGTAGTCATAATTTGCATGAAATTACAATGTATTATCCGATGAGGATGGCCCGCTCCCAAAGATATAAACTTATACATAATTTAAACTATTACGCTCCTTTTCCTATCGATCAGGATCTGTACGTATCTCCCACATTTCAAGTAAGTACAATTTTAGGATGTGTGTATTGTTTGATGGGACGTTGCGCGCAGCTACTCCTCATATAATGGAAAAATATCGATAATATCTAATTATTGATACTGATCTTTTGATACATATTTTATGCAGTCAAATTTGATATTTTTTCACGTTACCGTTTTTAATATTCCTAGATTGATCTGGCATGAACGTGCTTGCTGTGTTTAAACCTAAAATCTTGATTTAAAACCACTAATATATTATAAAACAATTTTACTTTTGTTTTAATTTTGAAACCCAACAAAGAAAGAACAAAAGAAACTCCTAATTTTTTATTATTTTGGCAGCTTTGTGATGTAATTTTCTTATTTAGAATCTAAAATCAACATTTTAGATTAAATTAATTTTTGTTATTTGTAGGATATCCTTAACAGGACAAAAACAAATCAGAACCCGTTCTGGTATAAAAGTCTTCGGGAATATTACAAACGACCCGAATGGGAATTATATGACTTGAAATATGATCCGGAAGAGTTAAATAATATTGTTAAAAAAAATAGTTCGCAAGCTATTTTTAACGAATTACGAAACAAAATATACCAATGGCAAAGACAAACGAATGATCCTTGGATATGTTCTCCTCATGCCGTTTTCGAAAATGTAGGAAAATTTAAACATGATCCACAATGTTTAGATTTAGATAATGCATGGTAAAAACATCGATTTTATATTTTTATAATTATTATTTAAACATTTTTCTGAATTTTCTATAAAATGTGTAAAAAAGCTAATACTTATACTTATTTTTTATTGTTTTAATAAAAAACTTATTGTTGAAATGCTTATTTTTTACAAATACCTATTGAATCTACAACTCGACTTTCATTATATTATTAATGAAAATGAATCTCCTTTCGCTAATTTTCACGGAAACAAATTTCCGCTACAATGCAACAAAAATGTCAATTTCATCTTTAAGTTCTACTACTTTACAATAAACCATTAATTACTTAAACCAACCCTGGCATTCAAAACGCATATTAAAAAGAAAGAAGGAAAGTCAAATTTAGTAAGACCGATTGAAAAAAATTAAACTTGGCAACCCCTAACTCATTTTAAAGTTTCTAGGTCATAGAAATCATTTCCAAATGCTTTGATCTTTTGTCTACCTTTGCATCATGGAGGTATAACTCTATGTGACAGAGACAGACTTATGATATGGCAACACTGTGGACCTGATGATTTGACAGGATCAATGATACACATAATTATATGGATTAATCATTCATGTTTTTAAAAATAAACAAAATTAAGCCTTAAAGTAGAAATGTAGGTAATTATTTTTTTTTTAATATATTCAAAGGCTGGAAATTGGTTTTAAAACACATTTTTGCTAAACCGATTCAAATTAACGAGCACTTACCAGGCAATATGGCCGCTCTTAATCGACCCGCTTTGAGAAATCTATATAACAATTATGTATCATTGACTCTGTCAATGATAACAGGTTCACAGAGTTGCCATATCTAAACTGTCAGAATTTTAACACGTGGTTGGAATGCCTAATAACAACATAACCACAAACTATTAACTTTAACTACAAATATGCCTTTTATTTAAATTTTGAGAATGCCGAATCAAAAGATTGTTACCTGGGTTGTTATCACTAAAATATCGTGTACAAAAACAAAAAGGTATGTATTCTAATCTTTTTATAGAGGCGGGAAAATGTGTAATTTGTGCGATTGCTAACCTTGAAAAGTATGTTAATGTTATTGAAATTTGATTCAAAGTTATCAGCGAATTAAAATTGTTAATGGACCACCATCTAATTAAAACATTCTAGATTACATTACGATTCCAATCTTATATCTTGCTCAATTTTTGATATAATTACCGTCTTTTGATAGCGATTATCAATTCCAGAACATCAAAACCGCTAAAATGCATAAAAGAGTAATTCCTAATGATTTTGATGGTATAATAATTTTTCTATTTATATATTATCATTAATTAATTCATTTTCAGAATCAAAGACTGCAGAACTATGTCTAAATTTATACAGAAACTCTTTGAAATCAAAAGATATGAATTACGATGGAACTCACTTTGAAAGTCAGTGTCCTCATGTTTTCGTAACTTTAGGGGCTTCCGTAAGTAAATATAATCAAATAGATTCCTTAAAAATATTTTCCTTGTTTTAGGGTGATCTAGCTCGTAAAAAAATTTATCCTACTTTGTGGTGGCTTTTTCGTGACAATCTTTTGCCTCCAAATACCGTTTTCTTTGGGTATGCTAGATCGAAGACTTCTATTAGTGATATTAAAGAAAAATGTGAGCCTTATATGAATGTTAAACCAAACGAGAAACAGAGGTATGAAGAGTTTTGGAAATTAAATAGTTATGTATCTGGACAGTATATATCTAGGACTGATTTTGAGCTTTTAAATCAAGAAATAGAGAAATTTGAAAAAGTGCCTGTTGTGAATAGATTATTTTATTTAGCATTGCCACCGTCTATTTATGAAGATGTTACTGTTCACATAAAGAATAACTGCATGGGGAAAAAGTAAGTTTTTTTAATATACTGATATGAGATTTAAGTTAGTTAAGCTTTGTAGTATTAAAAGAGAGATATATAATAATAATGACATAGTCTATTCAGATTTGTATTTATTTGAAGTGCTGATTTTAAATGGGCATGAATTCATATAGAGTTCAAATTATTGTGCTAGGTTGAATTTTTGATGTACAGTTCAACATACTTTAACAAATTTTTATTTAAAAAGTTGTATAAGAAAATGCAGGTAACTCATTTTGACCCAAAAATTACTTATCCCCTTATTCCTCAAAACCATGGACTTATAAGTATTTGTATAAAGAGTTGTGTAATTTCTGGGGTACTTATTTTAATTTTATAAATTAATATAGCAAAGAATAGTCTGATTAAAAAAAAATTATGAAAAGTTTAGGATAGTTTTGATCACAAATTAAAGATTTGCACAGTCATATTTTGTCTGCATGTTTTTACTTTAATTTAGATATAGTTATAGTGAAAAATAAACACCTTTAGCTATTTCAAAGTTTAGATTGTTAAAACTGTTCTAATTGCATAGCATCCAGAAGCTGTAGAGTAGAGTAGTTTATTCTTGTTATTAAAATACAATTTTTTTTACACATGTCAATAGTACAAACCTTAAAATATTAAGACATTTAAGTAAAAATATAAAAAAATACATAAACATATAATATAGCACATGGGTACCTAATTAAAATAACAATAAGTCATAAAAAAAAATAAATTTAGTAAGGAACAATTAAAATATTGTACAAATACACTTATAGTTCCAAGACCTGATTTTACTATGTTATTGCATCACTGTGAAATATATTTGTCTTACTCCTAAGGTATTATTAAATTTGTGGTTTAAGATTTCAATTGAATAAAAAACCTTAGATTTAAGATATTTTTTAAATGTATTTTGAAAAATCTTTGAAGCCAGTTCTTGTATTTCAGAGGGATATTTGTTAAAGGCATTTGGGTCATAGTAAGAAATTCCAGTTCTGGCTTTTTACAGTCTATGGTATTCAAGGTGTATATATTTTGCATTTCTAGTCATGTGGGTGTATACATTATTGTGTGTTGTATACTCTGTTAAATTATTTATTGCATATTTCAATGAATACAAAATAAATAAAGATGGTAATGTTAGTATACCCAAATTTAGGTAAGTCTCCTCCCTGTAGCCCTTTCTATCGACTATCCTCATATATCTCCTTTGTAATCTAAATATTCCATCACTAGATGTTGCGTGGCCCCAAGCTAAAATTGTTTAGGCAATTTTACCTTGGACATATGCATGAAATACATTAAGAAGAACTTTTTTTGACAGTTTTTTTGATAAATTATATAGCAAGTAAGCTTCAGAACATAATTCTTTTGCAAGTGGCTCAGTGTGTTTTTCCCAAGATAACTTGGGGTCAAGATTGACTCCCAAATACCTGACAGTCTCAAGGTTGGGCACATCTATAGGCTTCATATGTAGAAAAATACATTCTTTGTGTCTTTTGTTCATTAAGACTAAGATGGTTTTGTCCAAACCATTCTTTTGTTTTTGACTGCATCTCATCCAGGCTTCTCATTAAATCAAGTAAATATTTCAGCAACATTGACCCCATTTGCGTCGTCTGCAAAGTTTAGGTACCACTGGGTCTTTGTGCTGGTTAAATCATCAATTTCGTTAATGTAGATAATAAACAATGATGGCTCCAGCACAGAGCTCTGAGGCATCCCTAGAGCTATCTAAATTAGATCTGACTTGTTTTTCTCTATATTTACATATTTCCTCTTACCAAGATAAGAGTCTATCATATTTTTAGTTGGTAAATCAAAACCATGTATATTCAGTTTGTGTATAAGTAACAAGTGTTTTTGTTAAATAACTTGACTATCGTTTAAACTAGGAAGAAGTGGTTTACATCGCTTAATTTCTCTTTAAAGACTCTACAAACTGGTTTTTACTAATTCAACTGGCAAAAAGGTATTGGAATGGGCATTATATGTCCCAATTATTAACTATCTAACTATTAGTACTTGGCAGCTGTATAGTACCTATAGTTTTATTATCTATAGTCACATTATGGTCATATCATCTGCAAAAATAGTAAATAATCCATTAATAATAGGCACTGTAAGAACATTATCTGAAATGAAGAATATTTAATCTAATGCTTTTTTATTTTTGATTCTCTGTATCTTTTTTTTTTAATTTCATAGGTATCAACAGAGGTAAAACTAAATATATTATCAATAATTTGTGACAATAAATCTTGCACTTCAATAAATGTTAGAATTACTATAATGTTTATCCTAAAAATATAACAAAAAATCTAAGGTCAAGTGTTTGATAAAAGAAAGTGGTTTGTTATTGGAATTATTATATCACTGAGAGTAGCATTAACACAGTACATGTATTTGATTTTATTTTTAAAGATAAGATAAGAATAGTTTATTTCTTTAAACATATTGAGTAGGTCCTGATGCTTATAAAGAAAAAAAATTGCAAAATTATCATTTAATTTTATGTAACATTCAGGATTCTACATAGAAAAACATAAACCAGAGTGACATAAATAGGACTTGTACAAAAATAGACAAATCTACGGGTAAAGGACCTTAGTTTCTACGAAAAATATAAGCTAAGGACCTTTTTTTTTATTTTTTTTTTAGAAGAAATTTCACAAAAAATGGACCTGATTATATAAAAATACTTTGTATTTGAACCTAATGCTCTGTCGTCACGGTTGTCACGCTTTTCTCTCTGGCAACCCTACACATAAACCATAAATTTAACTTGTCTGCAACTCACGTGTACCTTTAGTTAACATTTGAGATGCATAGATACCACGATAGTTGATGTGGTCGGTGCGTTTCCAATTTTTATGTCCCTGATCTCTGTTCTGGTGGTTTATGGAAGTACATATTGCCAGAATCCTTAGTAGCTTGCATGTTTTTACTTAACCTCTCATCACGAAACTTCCTATTTTACTATATAGTATTTATTGCTAAGACTTTACTTCCCATTTTCTTTTTTCCTAGAGGATGGACAAGAGTGATAATAGAAAAACCTTTTGGCCGCGACTTACAATCGTCCAACAAACTCTCGAATCACCTAAGTCACCTGTTCACGGAACAGCAAATTTATAGAATAGATCATTATTTAGGAAAAGAAATGGTACAAAATTTGATGACGCTTAGATTCGGTAATAGAATATTCAATCCCACATGGAACAGAGACAACATAGCTTCGATACAAATAAGTTTTAAAGAACCATTCGGTACTCAAGGAAGGGGCGGATATTTCGACGAGTTTGGGATCATTCGGGATATTATGCAGAATCATCTTCTACAAATTTTAACGTTGGTAGCAATGGAAAAACCTGCCTCGTGCCAACCGGACGATATTAGGAATGAAAAAGTAAGAATTTTACACTAGTGGATTAAAAAAAATCTCGAAGTTTTGCGATTTTTCGAATGGCTGTATCTTTGGTAAAAATAGTCGTACGTAAATGAAAAAAAAAAAAGCAATTTGAAGCTTAAAGTGTCTAGTTTATGGATATTGTGATAAAAAAAATTTCCCACCAATAATTAGCACAAAATCCTGATGTTGAATTCTTACATGTTATAAATTTGAAATTGGAGCCTTTATTTCGTCACTGTTTCCAAACTAATAGATTTATAAACTTCAAAATTTCAGAAAATATTTATAAAAAGGCTAGAAACATAATTTTGCAGACAATATTTTCAAATTTCAATAGATGTTGAAGTTAAAGAGTATTAAAGTTGAATTTTTACTTGTTATAAATTTGACGTTGGAGCCTTTATTTCGTCACTATTTCGAAACTAATAGATTTATAAACTTCAAAATTTGAGAAAATATTGATAAATATTTTAGAAACATAATGTTCCAAACAACGTTTTCAAATTTTAACAGATGTTGAAGTTAGAGAGTATTAAAGTTGAATTCTTACTTGTTATAAATTTGACATTGGATAAATTTGACATTCACGTATGACCATTTTTACCAAAGATACAGCCACTCGAAAAATCTCAAAAAATCGAAAAAATTTGTAAACCTTTAATTTTTTCCACTAGTGTATTATGATTGGCTACAATTTTTAGTAATTTAATTACATTGCCAGTTCATTGGTGTTATAGGTAAAGGTTCTAAAAAGCATTCAAGTGATCCAACCGAAAGATGTCGTCCTCGGCCAATACGTAGGAAATCCTGAAGGAGAAGGCGACGCCAAAATGGGATATCTCGAAGATCCCACTGTACCTAAAGATTCCGTTACTCCCACTTATGCTCTAGCCGTGTTGCGAATCAACAATGAGCGATGGGATGGTGTGCCCTTTGTACTTAAATGTGGAAAAGGTAAAATAACTAAATACATTTTGTATAGTGTAATCGACCCAACCAAAATATTAAAAAGAACTTATAACAAAGGTTTATTTCAGACTAATCCTTTTAAACACAAAAATGTGTCCAGAAACTTGTCGCTCCGAGTAGGGAATGATTAAACATTTTTAGTGATAAATATTAGTCTTTTATTTTACTGACGAAAAATATTCTTTCTTTACGTTAATAAAATGAGTATAGTACAATGGTATCAGTAGCAAAAAGGATGTTTGCTTAAAAGCAGTACTGTTTATATTCTATTCTAAATTCCAGATTTCACTGTGGAAGAAACACCTTTAGATACATTTTCCGGTATCAATTTCGTCTTGATTACATTATAATTTTATTTCAGCGTTAAATGAACGCAAAGCGGAAGTACGGATACAATTTAGAGATGTTCCGGGAGATATTTTCGATGCTAAACCGAAAAGAAACGAATTGGTTATCCGTGTCCAACCTGGAGAAGCTTTGTATGTCAAACTGATGGTCAAAACTCCCGGTATGGCTTTCGATATGGAAGAAACCGAATTGGATTTAACATACGGAAGCAGATATTCGGTTAGTTATCACGATTTAAAAGGTGTCTCGATACAAAAAAATCTTTTATCAGTTTGTTTTCATTATTTTTAAAATTATCCTTGTCAATATATTTGGGCATGAAGTATGTTACACGTCAGTTAGATGTCATTTGTCATTAGCAATTAAAAAAATACGTAGTAATGTCTATTGCTGCGTTTGAGAATCCACATCGGATGCATTTTTTACATCTCGAGCGTTTTTTTATCCGCATCGGACACATCTGTCCCATTACATTTAAGTATAATTTATAACCACCGTAACGTAACTTAACTTAACGCCGTAGAAACTTAACCTAAGATATAAAAATAAAGTCTATTTATAAATGTCTGTAACGTAAGAGTTGAGCATGCGTGTTGATTTCAGAGATTATCAAATTATTGACAACCTTATGAAATAAACAAGTGTAAACTATGTACTTAACCTCTAAATAAAACTTATAAATTATGATTTTGCTATATAGAAAGAATATATTAACTATACTTTAAAAGCAATAATATAAAATATAATAAAACAAAATAGTTTACCGAAGATCTTGATTGTTTTTGAGCAATAATGAGAATTTAATCTTTCCTAGCAAAAAAGTTTTGTGTCTTATTTCAGTTCTAGACTTGATGTTTATAGGTATATGCAGCTACACTCATATCTCATAGATAGTTTATCCCCAATAACATAAACACAAATCATTCATGATAATGTATGTTCATCAAAAAGGAGAATGATAGTTTACAAATGGTATTTTTCTATTTATTTATAAAAAAAAATAATAAGAGAATAATTGACAGTTATCACATGCTGAACGCAGAATTATCTCATTGGCTAACCGTAAGGTCTTAAGTTAAGTTATGTTGTTAAGTTAAAAGTTGGTGAACTTTCTACGGTACGTTAAGTTTTTAAGTTACGTTACGAACATTATAAATAAGTATACGTAAATTCAATATTTCAACTTCTTACGTTAAGTTCTTAAGTTACGTTACGGCGGTTATAAATTAAGCTTTACGTATACTGAACCACGTGATCAAAGATTTTTTACATCTCAGATGCATCCGATGTGGATTCTCAAACGCAGCTTATATCTCATAGCCCTCAGAAGGTCTAGATACCGCATCGTAAAAACATTTTGACCCCCCATATGATGGGCGCCATGATAAATAAATGTCAATAAATTTTAAGTTGGCAAATCTGACAAGACAGAATCGGCACAAGTTTAGTAATAAGCGTAAGATCGGCGTTCGACGTATATAATCGATTTTATTATCTGTTGTGTTGTTTATTTTGTTCTTCTAGTAAAGGTTTTATTTAAAACATTATTTTTTAGTTTAGTCGTTTAGTGTTTTATTTTAATAAAACACATTTGTGGTTTGGTGTTAAATTTTTACAGGATTTTCAAAATCTCTTGTTGTTTTGTACGTGAATGTAACAATGCATCCAACGGTAGAAGATACAATGTGTAAGTTTTCAAAAATATTTGTATATTTTCAAAATCAAATAATTTGTGTTTTGTTGTAGCATACCAAAAAAATTTAGGAAAGAATAACTGATAGCCATAGGAAGACCATTGAATCATTTTGTGACTTTAGTATAAGCCCAGAAAATTTGGGGATACTAGCTGAAACGGCAAATGTGTTATTGGCTCCTTGTTAGTGACCTATTGTACAATTTTTCCAACACACGTTCCATGATCCTTTGAACTTGGCTGCACCGTACTGATGAAGACCAATAGTCAGAAAAACATGTCGAACGTTACTTCTTTTTTACTTTTTTTTATTCGGAAAATGTCCACTATTACTACCTTGATACAATAATATTAGTTCCGTTCTAAGTAGGTACATATTATAGTTTGTATGTTTTATGCTTTATTTTATTACATGTAATAAATGTTAGGAAATATACTTTTATAGTAAATTAATTGATTAAAGCAATATGTAAGAATAAGTTTATCTAAGGATTGTTAAAGCAATTTTTCATATCCATTGTTTATTAATTTGTTTCATTTAATTCTTTCTTATTGAGTAAGTTATTTCATATAAATATGCGATACTTGTAAAATGTAATATTTTCTTTTAAATAGGTATATATTATGTTTGTATAAAATATTGTTCAGTTAATAAAAACAGAAATATTTTGTCTTTTATTTGTAAATTTTTCAAAATGTATTTACCTACCCCAAAAAAAGATTAATAAAACTAGTTAGTCATATACACATTTTCTATATATTTATAGAGGTACTTTTTAAATAACTTTCAGTACATTCGAAATCTGTGGTTTTATTAAACTCAATGTAACAAATAATAATAGGTATTCTCAAAAATATTTCAAAATAAAATCGAGATGGGACTCTTGTATAATTTAGTGACTATTCGCCTATGGTTAGTGCACTGCTGTATGTCCCTGGGTTTTCTACATTAGAACAATACTGCTTCTCCACTCTAGCAGTATTTTTTGCATCTCACAAGATTATATTTATTAAAAAACCAAGGAATTGTTTCGGGCCTATTGCTGTGCCCTTTTCCAACATTCCAAAAGTTTTTTTTTTACTTTCTGCTGATTGGATCTCCGATAGCGACAACTCCATTTATTGTTCCACTAGTTTTTTATCAAATTTTTAAAATAACTTCTATATATTTATCTTTTGCAACGGCTTTGCTTACCTGCTTCATAATCTCTTCCCTATGCCCCAATTTCTCTAACAGGTGAGATCTTATACTCGCTCTATTAAATCAAATTATCATTATAGTTTATTTGAAAATGGTTGGTAGCACAGTTTTTATGGCAAAGGTCCATATTTTTATATAATTTTGCTATTATTAATTTTCAAATAAACTATAGGAATAGGAGTAATCTATTAGTTTTTCTAAAAATACCTTGTTAAGTAAGTATATCTTTCCCTAGTAAATAAATTCGAGTTTTTATTTTCATAATATAAATAAATGACCGGTTAACAACACATTCTTTTAAATAGTACATTTGACATTGAAGTAGGTATTTTCTCCATATTGCCAAACAGGAACAGATAATTTACTTGTAATTTGAATTATATTACATAAATCTCACTGAATTTCTCTATAATTCTCATAGCAATATGTACACAAAACACTTATTCAATAATTTATATAACCATGTAAAAATACATTTCAAGAACGAGAAAATTTATAAAACCGGTCCTGTCTGAACAGATCTAGGAAAATCAAATAGGTTTGTCAAAGTTTTGTTCTTAATTTGAAATTAGAAATTGTGCGTCTCACTCACTTATAACTAATAACAAAGTGCAGATTATCGGTGTTCACGTATTACAGAACACACAAACTAAAAATCAGTGTAGCCAAAACATAAATTTACCTAACATGGCGACAAGCTTAAAAAGGTCATTTCTTTGTATTGACAGCATACGCCTAGCGGTATCTAGACTTTCTGAGGACTATGCTATATCTTCATTATTATTAGTTCTATTTAAATGGAACAAATGGCATAGTGTGAAATATAATTTTTACAATAAACCTGTCTATATTTTTTTGTTAGTTACATAAACAGTGTTAACTATTAGTAACACTTCTTCGAGAAAATTGGTTTTTTGTGTTACTAATAGAAAAATAGTAATTATAATTTTTTTCAGAATGTGAAACTGCCCGATGCCTACGAACGTTTAATTTTGGACGTTTTCTGCGGATCGCAAATGCACTTTGTCCGATCTGACGAGTTGAGCGAAGCTTGGAGGATATTCACTCCTTTGTTGCATCAAGTTGAAAAAGACAAAGTAAAACCTATTCCATACGTGTAAGTTTTTTTATTAATTAAATATGTAGATCGTAATTTATGATGTTTATTTGCAGATATGGAAGCAGAGGTCCCAAGGAAGCAGATGAACTGTTAATTAATAACAACTTTTGCTATACAGGATCGTACAAATGGAAGCCGAATCATTAAAGATGCGATCAAAAATTTTTAATTTACGTTTCAAAGAAAATTGTTGACAATAAAGATTTTTTTTAGAAATTTGTTATTTATGTTTAGACGGGAAACTCCATTACATTGTTAAATATATTAAATTTTAATTATGTATGTATACAGGATGGACTGGAGTTAATTTGAATATACAGATATCTGGTAAAGTACAAGATATACAATGTCGGTTAAATGGAGTAAAAGTTTCCTATTTTCCTAATTTATAAACAAAGTCCCCAATAACCTGCCAAAAGAAAATTTTCATTACGACGTTTCGTAATTCCAGGGCTACCTTCAATTCATTTTTACTTTTCTGTCTGTATACAGATAAGGAAAGTATAGGAATCGTGATTTTTAAGTTTTGGGGTCCCCTAAAACTGTTTTGAATATTTTCGCGATGTATGTGTGCATCTGTATATTCAATAATTCGTGAACGGATACAGAGAAAAACACAAAATTTTAAACTAAAGATTTATTCCGGTCTGCGGTGAGCTAATCAGATTTTGGACAGAGTGGGAATATCTGAAAAGTAGGTCATTGTTACACACTAGTGGAACAAATTAAGGGATCAAAAAAAATATCGAATTTTTGCGATTTTTCGAGAGGCTGTATCTTTATTAAAAATGGTCGTACGTGAATGAAAATAAAAGCAATTTGAAGCTTGAAGTGTCTAGTTTATGAATCTTCCGATAAAAAAAAATTCCAACCAACAATTAGCACAAAATCCTGATGAATATCATGGATAGAAAGTTTTTGAATTTTTTTTTTTAATTTTTAGTGTACGAACTTGAAAATATTTTTTCGACAAAACCACTATATGCATTGGATAGGTGGTTCAGTTAGCTTCAATTCCTTTTTTCGATTGCCTCGAGATGGCCCTTCCTTGCTGAGTTATCATGTACCACCCCCGGAAATATCAAGGCTAGTAAAGTACTGCCATTACTTCTTGGATGCGACGACAACGCGCACAGCACCGTATGCGGAAGCAACGACACTAATCAAAGAGGTGAGCAACTTTTAGAATATATTTTTAATAAGAACCTTATTGTGCAAAATATTGGGAATACTCCAACATTTGTAACAAGGGCAAAAAGTGAGGTATTAGACATCATATTAAGCACACCGAGCATGAAAGATCTAGTTAAAAACTGGAGGGTATCGAGTGAACTATCTCTATATGAACACAAGATAATTGTGTTTACGTTAGAGAGCGACATTCCTGAGACGATCCTCAGGAGGAATCCTAGAAAAACAGACTGTGACAAATATAACACCATTTAGCACGTATCCAGACAAAAAAGGGGCTCGGGCACCCACTTGCTCTGAAAAGCAATCGCGAAGAATTAAATGGGGCAATACTTGAGGCATATGAATCAAGCTTCCCCATTCAAAGAAATAGAACTAAAAAAGGAAGGAAAGAAATAAAAGCTACAGATTATAATTGAATTGCATAACATTAAATCTGTTAGTAATATCAGTTCTCATTACTTTAATCTTCTACTTCATCATTATTATCTTCACAATCATTTTTCGCTAAATCTTCCCAAAATTTTAACCTAGTTTGACGATACTACCCTTTTATATCTCATAATAAATCTCGAAACAATAACCTCAAAGTTTATGTAATAGCACAATTTTTTTTCCATAAATGGAAAATCAAGCGGTATCCTTAGAAAACTAAATTCATCATATTTAACCACACTTAGTAGATAATTCTTCAATCATAACCATTCAAAATCACACATTGAAACCTGCTCAACATTGCAAATATTTAGGAATAAAATTAGATCATAAACTTAATTTCGAATAACATACCAAACAAATAAAAAAAAAAGCCGTCGCACGAGCCAATCACTTCGGAGATTTATCTTATAAAAAAGAGGGAATCAATATCCAAGCAGCAAAAAATAAGTTCCAGAGCAGCCCTCGCAATATGGAAATTGCCCATAAGATCATGTCTAAGAACAATAACAAAGCTCTGCCACCTCAATAACAATCCACTACATAATCCATCGAATCAATTACTATATGGAACAATTAAAATTGGCCATTAAAATTGAAGACTTTCTTTCAAAAACAGTACATATCCAAAAGGGCACAAATTGAATTAACTGTAATAATTGGTGACCAACTTGTTGTATTTATAAGCAAAAATAGTAATTTCTTAAAAAGTAACACACAGAGATATTTACTGTTAAATATAGAGCGTTTCATAAAGTCTATTAGGACTGACACAATGTTTTTTACTTTTCCTGAAAAAAATTGATTTTGGACATGTATCGTTTTGTAAAAAGGTCTTCAATTGCAGGGAGACCAAATACAGAACTGCTGAGTCAGATGATTATCCCTAGAAACCCTAACATTGTTCCAAAAAAAAATACCCTGAAAAACCACTGTGGAATAAAATAATGGACCTTCAAAAAAATAAAATATATAAATATAAAGATTTTTTTTTCTTCTTCAATAAACGTTATAATAACATAAAATACTCTAATTTTGTACGTTTATAAAAGTTTTAGAGATATTTTTTTGTGAAATGATAATGTTATTATTATTTATCAAATTGTAAGTTCAAAGATTTTATCAAAATTTTTCTAGTACAATAATGACATAAAGACATAAATAATTTCAAAAATGATAAAATATAACTCTTTTACTTACTTGAATTGACAAAATAGTTCTTTTCTAAAACGGTTTATTATATGTTTTTTTTCAAAATTTACTAATAAGTAATGAAAATGTTTGAATATAAGATTAATTTTTGTGTGAGATTCCTTATTGGTGACATATTTTAAAATGTCTCACAATTTTTTCTAATTATTTAAAAAATATTGAACTAGATAAAGACACTTTTAACAAAAAAGATATACTTTTAATTAAATCATCATTATATAGTCAATTTAATAATACGATAAATTAAAGCAGAAATCCAGAAAACTTCTGAAAAAATGTAGAACTGTGTTTTCAACTAGGATAAGGATGTCTTAAAAAATAGAAAAATGCGACATCATCATTTTTTAAACGGAATAGAAGAGAGAGATTATACTATTGAAAAAAAGACTCACGTTATAAAATAAAGCTTCTTTTTTCTTTCATCCCGCTAATGACTGGTCCATTTCACTTTACATTTTACCCATTGTCCGATTTATATCGCCCGACATTTTCGTACACTCCGGAAATCTTCTGTTCCCGGCGACGTCATTTCATTCCAACATCAACAGTCATTCTATCATTCTCTACCTCTAATAACAACCCCTAGATACTCTACAATTTATTACCATTCCAAAATCAACCAAGAATTTAAAGTTTGTATCTGTGATTGATTGAAGGAAGTTTAATAACTGTACGAGATATCACCGGGTGTTATTTGCTGCCAGCCTTGTCCATTTGATCCACGAATTTACATCAGAAATTAATTATTATAGAGCTAATACATCTTCTAAAAGATGTAACCTCTTAATAAATGATTTCAAAAGACATACATAGCGTGAATTAAATGTCTTTATTGTCAGAGAGGAAGGGAATGATCCCAAACAAAATCGTTGATGTAAATATAAAAATGTTGAGCTTTTATAATAACATCAACGATGCCAAACACTCAAAAAACTAAAAAACTAGCAAATATTTAAAAATTTCCTATCAATGATTGTTCATTTTGAAAATACTTAGTGTCTCATATATTTTTTTGAATTTTACGAATTAATTTATAATATACTGTTTCTTATTCTTTTTTTATTTAATGAAAAGTTTTTGGATATAAAAGTGTTTTTTACCTAAAACAAAAAATTAGAAACTAAGCTATATGTTTACTAACATTTTTAAAATCGAGTAAAACGCAAAAATATGATTTTAGCTGAAAAATAAAGTTGCTCTATATCTATTTATAAATTATTAGATTAATTCACACTTTAATTCAAAATCTGAAAAAATTATATCGAGGGTCACAGTGCAGGACCTCCTAAGTTTTTATTTTGCATTTTAGTTATTTATAGTCCATATGAACAAAACAAAATTTGTTATTTACCCTAAATAATTTAAACTATTTAATTTGCTCAATAATATATTGATATTTAGGCTCTAAGTAATAATCCTCAAGTATAAAATGGAAAAATTTAAACAAAACAGTGTTTTTATAATTTTTCTTCCAAAATCATGTAAAAAAATATACGAGGTACTGCACTGTGACCCTCGATATGCATAATTTTAAAGACTAAGCAAAAAATCTAATTTTTGTAAATTCTCTCTGCGAAAAAACGTTTTTTAAATAGACCCTACGCACCCAACAATACCTATTTCTTTGACCAAAAGTACCCATATATATTTACGCCTCTTTCTAGTATATATAATGCGAAAAATTAATAATTATAAAAGAGTATATAGTTTTTATATCCACAACATTGATTACTCATTAAATATGTATGTATACCTATTTAAAATTTGCTATTATTACTTATTTCAATGCATTCATGCTCCTACCTTTACACGAAAAATATACGATGTAAAACCGAAGCACAATCTGAAAAAAAAAATACCTAATAATTTATTGTAGTCAAAAAGTTTGAATAAAAAAAAGTCATCAAGAGAAATATTTAGCTGTTTTATAAAGATTATAGGGTAGTAGGTGTTTTGTCTAGTCAATATTTTATTCCTAGGGTCATTTTGGAAAAGAAAACTTTCATTTCAGATATACTTAACCCTAAAACTGTTTGTTTTTAGCAAAGAAAACTGTTAAAATTTACCTAGGTACCTTATGTAAACGTAAATTGAGGAATGCAGTTTTAAAATTGACATACTAATATTGTCCTATACACTTTTTCCAAAAGAGAACGTGCGATTTAAAATTTTACATCATCTAAAATAGTTATATTCAACCCAGGATAGCATAATATCTACTTAAGTATGTAGGTACATAAAAAGTATCTCGGCAAATCCCCAGATATTATCTATAGTTGAATTATTGACAAAATTCTTTTACCTTATGTTAAAGTGCATAAATAGACTCACCGTATATTATTTTTCTTGAGATATTTCACTAATCACTCATCACTAATAGTTTCTTGTTAGACATTTT